TAAAATGTTTAAAATGCTTAGTTTCAAATGTTTATAAACAAAATGTCATCCACCGAAGAGTGAGGTGCGATATTGTGTGCAAGAACTCAGCAGTGCTCATTGAAATTGCAATGAAGACTCCACTTCACTTATAAAACACCCACTAAGATCTTAGCACAAGCTTGTATTTTCTTCCTGCTTGGCATCATTTTTTTTGTTTCCATTGTTTGTGACCTTCTGAATAACATTTAATTAAGTTGGACTCTTGAGATGTGACATGTCTTCCTTAATTCTCTGTTTTGTCATCTTCCTCTCACCAGACAAGACTTTCTTCATTGGAATTCGTGAAAATGAATACTATAATCCGACAATACCACTGCAGTTAAGAGAAAATTATTGTCTACAGGAGTTGTTCTACTAGTTGCACTGAAGTAGGATGGCCTGCCTGTTGTGGCCTTAACAAATGTATAACAAACTGTCAATCTTTTGTTTTTGTCAGCTATGAAATTCGAACATGGCTTTTGTGCTTAAACACTGAGAGTTTGTTAAATAATAAACATATTCTGAAGCATAGAGTCTGGGACAACAGTTTACTCCCACAGTATGGTGGGTTAGGGGTGTGGGGTGAACATTTAACATGGCTGACCTACTGTACGTTATCACTGGAGGTCCAGATGCTACATAGGACAGGCAAATGTTGAAGAGAGAAGCTGACAGCCCAGTACACACATCATCTGATAGACAAATAAGCAAATAGTTCAGTTCAGTACAGTTTACTGTCATATGCACAAGTGCAATGAAATGCTTATTTGCATGTATGCTCCAATACAAAGATATTAAAGGAATCACCAAACCCATAAACACAGAAGACCAGCAGCACCATCAAGTTAAATAGCATACAACTTAAAAAAGAAACATCAGTGTGAGCCAGCGGTAGGGGTAGAGTTCAGTAATCTGACAGCTTGTGGGAAGAAACTGTCCCTGAATCTGGAAGTTCATTTCTTTATGCTCCTATAACACTTACCAGAGGAAAGGTTGGAAAAAAACGAGAAACCAGGATGACTGGTAACCTTGGCGATACCCCCAGCCTTCCTGAGGCAGCGAGTAGTAAAAATGTTAGAAACAGAGGGGAGCTGTACTCCAATGATGGACTGGTCTGACCTGATCACCCCCTGTAATGCCTTCCAGTCAGACAACGAGCTGCTGCCAAACCACACTGTAATACCACATGTGAGAACACTCTCAATAGCGCACCTGTAAAGTGTGGTAAAGCCAGTTGAAGATAGATCAAATATTTCCAACTGTATGAGGAAGTAAAGGCACTGTTGTGCCTTCTTTGTAGTTCAAGTTACATGTTGGGACCACGTTAAATCATTAGTGATGAAGGTACCCAGGAAGATGAAGCTGCTAACCATCTCTACAGCCACCCCTTTGATGTGAATAGTTGTGTGGTGCCCACCCTGCTTTCTAAAATTGATTACCAGATTTTGCTGACGTTGAGGGAGAGATTATTGTCAAGGAACCACTCCATCAGGTTCCTGACCACATCCTAGTAGGCTGTCTCATCATTAGTGGTTATTTAGTCAATGATGGTGGTGTCGTCAGCATATGTGTCGATGGAGTTGGAGCTGTGTCTGGCCACACAGTCATGGGTAAACAAGGAAAACAGCAGGGGCTAAGCAGAGACACCTGTGACGGGCACCTTTATTGACGGTGAGTGTGGAAGAAAGCTTTCCATCAACCCTCACAGTCTGTGGTCTGCCAGTCAGGAAGTTCATAATCCAGCTGCATAAAGAGGTGCTGATGCCCAGGTCAGACAAATAGTAGACACCAGATGTGTCAGGATGGAACTATAGTGTTAAATGCGGAGCTGTAATCAATGAATAGCATTTTGACCTTTATTCTGAGCATTCTTTATCATCCAAATGAGCAAGGGAAGTGTGAAGAGCCAGGGAAACAGCATCGTCAGTGGGCCAGTTACGGTCGTATGTGTCACAAACAGTTCTTTCGGGGCCCGAAAGACGACACAATCCGGAACAGTGGGGAAACACTGGGGTAAAAGTCATGCAGGAGACGGGAATGGAGACAGGGGGCGTGTCCTTGGTGTGCAGGTGTCCAGGGGAAGTGAGTCCGGGGCGAACAATCCAAGTAGAAGTCCAAACGGGGAATCCAAAACAGAAGCATAAGTCCATGGCCAGGCAATCCATCCGGGAGAATAAAAATGGGAACCGGGTCGGGACCAGCGGGGGGAACAGGAACAGAAAGTTAAAAGCATGACGGAGCCGGACGGAGCCGGACGGAGCCGGACCCAGGCTCACATGAAACGGGATTCAATGTAGAGCCTCGAATGACGTGAGCGCCTGGCTTTTAAGGCAGACTGAAAGAGGGTTAGAATTAGGAACAGGTGCGGTGAGTGAGACAGAACAAGGAAGGGCTGGAGCGCCCTTAAGAGAAGGGGTTAGCGATCGTGACAGACTGCAGGTACCTCATGACCAGCCATTCAAAGTATTTCATTATGGTAGACATTGGAAGCCCTTCTTAACAGGAACAGGTGCCTGGAATATCTTCCCAGTCATGTTATTGAAGCTGATTCTCTGTGGTTCTTCAAATGATGACTAACTGAAGTTGGCAATCAAATGGAGGTTTTGCAGTCCTTCCTATGTCCTCTTATCACAATATTGTTTTAAATGTAATACAATAAGATTAACAATGAGTCCTTTCCAAGCAAATTCTGTTTATACTGTACAGCATATCCTGTATTTCTACATTTTAACCTTATGACTGCACAACATTTTTTTTGTCTTTAGAGAATTGAGTAGCTTCATCTCTTAGTTGATTGAATTACACTCTGTCATCATCTTGTTAATGAAAATCCTTCTTGCTGTCTATAAGAATGACTTGAAATCACCTGGAGGGCAGATGAGATCTCCATTTTTGGTATTGTATCAAAACCAGTTTGACGTAAATTGTTCTTATTTCCTTATCAAGACTAGATGAAGATGTTCGTGCTCAAACAGGAAAACTGAAATTAAGGAGGTGCAGTGTGGTTTCTTTTTTCGGGTTTTGGGGGACAAAGAAACATCCATGCATCCATCTTCAACTCTTTGTCCAGTACACGGATGTGGGGTGCTGAAAGCTATTGCAGAAAGCAACCTTCACAAGGCAGGAAACACCCTGAATGGGACACCAGTGTTTCAGAGAATGCACAGAAACACACTAAAATCAGTGTTAGTTTTCCCAGATGTCAATTAACCTACCAGTATGTCTTTGGACTGTGGGGGGGAAACCTGAGATCCCACAGGAAACCCACATGAACACAGATATAACATACATACTCAATGGAGAGAGCACCTCAGGATTTGAACCCAGGAGAAAAAGGTGAGGATTTAATTTCACACTTATTGTTCCAGTAACTGGAAATCAAGTTTCTTTTTCACTTTGGAGCCAGAATATGTACAGTACCAGTAAGGACCGCTGTACTTTGTCAGTTTCAGTGTGCTCTACAGCAGTGACAGGCAGGAGGCTTGAGTGTGGTCTTAAACATCCGCTCTGTGTCCAGTTTTGCACATCTAGTATAAAGTATAGTATAGTATAAATTATGACCTTTGCATTCCTACTGTCAGCATTCAATTTTCCTAGGAATCTTGGAAGTAAACCTGGTATGAATAACAAGTGACTAGCACCTGCAATTTAATTTTAATGCTCATTAACTTGAAGCTGTACAGAAACATAGCAATGGACTGCATTTCTTGTCCAATCATAACTGAGTTACTTTCATTTTTAATAAAAGGTTATACTGTAGCTGATACCTAACAACTTTTATAATGGACTGAACAGAAAGGAAATATTGATAGAAGAAATGCAAAAGTTTTACATATGTATTAAACTAATTATACTTTGCAGAAAACCGTCAAAGAAATGTTTTTGTTATTCTCTCCTTTGTTAGCAGTCCCAACACCTTTTGCTGAGAGACTCTTTACCCCATGTGTTGCACCTCAGCCTTATAGTGTTTGACAACTAGCACACAATCAGTAGCCGTTAAATTTTTTTCAATGTATATTTCTAGTGCGTTCTCTCATTTAACAAACTTAGTCATACTAAGTCATGAAGTTGTAGGGCAGATAAGTTCAATGAAGAGCAAACACAAAACGTATGATTCAGAATCATATTATGTCACAGGTGTGTTAATAATACCTGAATGTTTTTTTGTTTTGATACTCATCTTTAAGCGCATCAATACAGGTGCGCTGGAAAGGAGAACTGGAAATGATGAAGAAGCTGGTTGCATACTGTACATGAAACCCTTTTGAATGGGTAGCTGGACATGAATGTGTAGGGTTCCCTGATAGCCTTGGTGAAATGGAAAAGTGCACTAAAGAAAAGTGTCAAGATTTTGCACATCTTGAAAACATACAGTACAGTCAAGAGACACAGTGGTTTTGTTAAGCAAATGGCTGTGATTTACAGTATAAAGAGTGATCATTTTTGCAAGTATATATTGTTTAAAGAATCTTAAAAATGAAGTGCAGAGACCATTATTGTTGGAGCCTAACACTTCTGACTGATAAGAACACAGACTTCAGAAAGTAATTAAAAGCCAAAAATGTTGCTGCAAAACTTTTCTTATGTTTCATAAGACTGATAACGTAATAATGTGCTGTTTATTTCCTCACGGAAATGGTCATTGGATTTTTCACTATAAATAATAAGCAGTTTAATGCCCAGCATCAAACACAGCTGAAATTAAACATAAAAATATGCAGTGTGATATCACACATGGATTGACTTTGATCAAATAACACCGTGACTGCTACCAGTTTTGGACTTACTGTTTCTGTACACCGAATATGACAGCTTTAATTGAAATCTAAAACACATCTGATGTAGTGTAAGTGCATTCTCTGTTGTC